GCTTATTCTTTTTTTCCCCTCTCTCCCCTCTCTGCTACCCTTCTGCTACCGGTACCTCTTCTCACTTCTGCCCTCTGCTACCCTCTCTCTCTGCTACCCTCTCTGCTACCCTCTCTGCTACCCTCTCTGCTACCCTCTCTGCTACCCTCTCTGCTACCCTCTCTAAAAGAAAGAAAGAAAACGGACAACCCAAGGGAGGGATGGGAGGACGGCACGCCGCCACCACACAGGGATTTTAAGGAGAGGGGTGTGGTGCGCTAGCCGTCGCCCACCCTTGGGCGTCCGCCTCTTCCTATCTCTCTTCGCAGTCTCTCGCAGATTCTCGCTGCAACCTTCATGCCACCTCGCGGTCGTCCCACTCTCGTCGTTCTCTCCCTTGTCGCTTCTTCCTCTGTCGCGTCGCTCTCATGACGATCGGCTGGCGACCCGCTAGGGTCGACAGTTGAGCTAGGGAGTGTGGCGATGGCCGCCCAAATGCGAACGCAGGAGATAAGATGCTTTGCGGCGACGTACCGTGGGAAGGTTCAAGTCGGCGCGGTTTCATTACAAGGCTCCTTGTCACGTGGAAGTTCTACGTGCGTCCCACGGGGTCAACAAGGCGCAGCCGAGCTGTTGGAGAGAGACAGGGGTCTCTCTCGTTGCGCGTTTCAGCAACTCCTCTGCCTCGTTCTGCGACGCCGCCGCCGCCTGCCGATCCCTTGTTCTCGCGGCTTCTTTCGCCTTTCGGCGCAACTCCGCCCTCCTCGCGGCGTATCCTGGCCCCTCGAGTCTATCGAGCTCCCCTCGCGCAAGGACGACTCTTCTGACGCCCACTACGATCATTTGCCGCCAAGTCATGTCGTTGCTCAGGTCCACTCTCTCTTCGAACACTTGTACCTCCACGGATGATGCCGGCGCTGGGGTCCCCTTCGGGTGCATCGTGACAGCTGACAACGGGATTTCCACTGGTTCGTCCTCCTCGGAGTCGTCTTCCCCGGCTTCCTTCCGCTCGGCTTTACGCTCGGTACGTTCGGCGTGGCTCACCCTCCATGCCGTGAACAGGCGCTTTATCCACCCTATATTCTTCTCTCGTTCCTCTGCCCGTGCCTTGGTCTTGTCGTTGTTTCGCACCCATGTCTGTATGGCAATCGAGGCTGCCTTCCCCACTACCTGTAGTTCACTCGTCACCTCCCCCGCGAGCTCCCCTCTCTTTCTTTCGGGTATGGAGTCCGTGAGTGCGGGTAGCGTGCAGGCAATCACGGGCGCTATTTTGTCGTACTCCTCTTCGGCGAGCGCTCCAAATCTAGACCCCATTGCCTTTAGGGAGGCTGCCCTCGCGCGTTCAGGAATGCGGCTGTGTCTTTTGAGTCAGGCGCCGCCCGTTCGACCCTTGCTGTCGCCCTCGCCGTGTGTTTGTCAAGCTTCCGCATGAAGAAACGCGCCTCTTCCTTATTTCCAGCGCAGCTGCCGCTCAGTATGTGTCATCCCTAGCGGCTTTGCACTCTCTGCATACCCTCTGTGCTACGATCTCTCGCGCCGCGGTTTCTCAACAGCCCGACTCCCTGCCAGCCGGCCGGAGCGCGGCGTATATGCCCTCTCCTTCCTCCGATCCTCCCAATGTGCTCCAGTCATCACACCCTCTCATCCTGCACAAGATCACACAGATGCGCAAGGCGCGTGCTGGCCCGTTCTCTCCGTCGGCACTCGCTCTCCGCGCCATCACGCCACCTCCACGCGTTCAGGCCAAGGCGGGCCCAAAGTACCTGAACCAGCTGCTGCGCGAGGTGTCGACCTTCCTGTGCTATGAGGCGACCGCGGATCTGGAGATGGAGCCCTGCGCGGTCACGTCTCGCCTCGGAGAGGAGAAGGTGAGCCGCCGCGCCGCTCCTGCCGCCACCGCCGCCAGCCGCGAGTCCTACCCTGCTGGAGTCCTACCCTGCTGGAGTCCGCGTTCGAGGCGCGACGGCCCGCCGCGCACACCCGCTTCCGCCGCTGCCGCAGGGACAGCGATTGGCGAATCGCGTGGCCATCGTGCCGGTGATGCGTGGCGGGCACGGCAGCCGTAGATGCGTCAGGCACAAAAGAGGAGACAAAGATGGGTGACCAATGACGCGGCTGCAGCGGC